GGCGTCTCTATGAGGAACTTCACATGAGGTTTGTGTGACCCATGTTATTTTTGGCCTTATGTTTTCCGAATAGAAGTCATCTTCTCGCTCGGCATCTCTTTTTCTTGGTATTCTTTGTATTCGCTCACATATTCCGCGAGTAAAATTGATATTACCCCGATTTGATGTTCGTCCCAAGTATCATCATTCTTGTCATCGAAAAATTCTCTTGCATAATGACTCTCTATCGGTGCAACATTTTCTTCAAAGTTTCTGTAATGATTCCAATAGAGGATCCTTCCTCCTCTTCTCCAGGGCCTTCCTCAGAATCTTCTTTGGAATGTTGGGAATCTAATGGTCGATCCATCATCATACGAGAGTCTTTCGAAAACATCATTACTTTGAAGTCTACCTCTTCCTCCTCGAGAAGGATACATCTCTCTTCTAATCCACTGCCTCCGATTTTCACTAACACCAGAGCCAACGGATTTCTGCGACTTTCTTCGATCATTGGTCGAGACTTGTTTGATCTACTTTGTCATTTTTCCTTTTATTTTGGTTCTCGATCTTCTTCATCCGTTCGTTCGAAAGCTTTGGCAGCCGATTTATCGAACACTGCATTACAACGTGGGCATAATGACACATCTTCGTCTTTTTCCTTTTTTCTATTCAAAAATTCAATGAGAGAATCTCTGCGCGAGGGTATATTTCCTTTTCGAACTCTCTCTCGAATTCACTCGGGTCAAATTCCATATCTTCTTCGAACACGTCCATTCTAACGTGCTTAGGATCGATGTCTTCGGTGACATCTACCATGCCTATAAAGGCCGAATTTGTTAATCGGACATCATCGGTAATGCCTGTTTGGGATTCGAGGTATCCAACTTGGGCCTCGAATGGACTCGTGTCAACTTTCATTGTCATTTCTTCGAACCTCAACCTTCCTTGGTCAATCGCATCTTGGATGGTGTTCCCGAAATGTATACAATTGTTAGTCCAATGTCCATAAACATTATGAAATTTGCAATATTTTCGACCATTCCTTTGTTACTGCAGACGACGGTTTATGATCATCACTCAACTTAATCTGTTTGTCTTTCAATAAAATATCAAAGATTTTGTCCGCTTTTGTTACATCAAAAGTATATGTTCGATTTGCCATTTTATCTTTTACTTCATTCTTTTGTAGCAATTTACGGGTATATGGAGCCCCTACTTTGAGTTCTGCTAAGTTTACTTTCTCATCGACAGTTTCTTCAATATCATTTTCTGTCATATTATCTGTCTCATATACATCATTTATGTATGTTATTCTTTCCTTTTTCAAAGGTTTCTCATATTTCTTATACCTTTGTTTCACATACTCTATTTATTCCACTCTTCTCACTTTATCAACTAATTGAGCCATGTCATTCAATGGTAAATTGACTAGTTTTTTCCTAATCGAGAATTCTAAACTGCGAGAGGTCATTCGACTAATTCATATTCGGGAATTTGAGTGAAACATCTCGATTTCATTTGTCTAAATCGATTCAAATAATCATCAATGCTTTCATGATTGTATCTTTTTATATTCATCAAGTCGATGAGACTCACTTGAGTTTCTCCTCTAAAGAATTGCTCATGAAAATTTCTTTCCAATTGCAGCCAATTATATATCGAATTGGGTGGCAATGACGTGAACCAAGTAAAAGCACTCTTAGTCAAAGAACTAGGAAAATATTTCATTTTTAATTCTTCACTCATCGCTAAATCCCCGCATTCGATCTGATATCGAGCCACATGCTCGATAGTCGATTCACCAACTTCTCCAGCAAATTTAGTGAATTTGGGTACTTTATATCCTCGAGACAATTCTGTCTCGAGAATCGCATTCGGAAAGGGAGACACAAAATATGTCTGATTGGGTGGTCTAAATTCCATCCCTTGTAAATTCACCCTTTGTCCCAACATATTATTCTGATTGTGTATATTTTGAAATCCTTCGTTCAAATTCCCATAAATATCATTCCTCACATGTTGATACTCATTTCCCATACGCTGCTGTTGATCATTGTTTTTATTTCTTCTCAATAGATATGGGGGATTAATATTAGTATTCTGATTAGCATGATTTTCTATCCTCGTTTGTCGAGGCACAACCAATGCATCCCCGATTCGTGACATTTGGTCCGCTAATATCTCAAAGCTAGCGGTAGTGTTTTGCACTAATGGATTTAAGAGCTGTAGTCAATTGTTGTGATAACATATTCACCATTTCAAAATTACTCTCATCCATTTGTTGTCCGAGTACCCCTAATGAATTACTAGATATTCGGTACCCATGTTTTCGATAGAATCAAAATTAGATCGATGATAGTCTCTATCGAATACATATCTCCCATGATCTAAGTATCCCCTCGATCTAGATTTGGAGGTATCATTGTGTGCCTACATTCTGTCCATTCCCCGAATCCTGTGGAATTACTAAGTTTTGCGACGTCCACTAAATTCGGAGGGATTCCAAAATTTTGTGGCATACCTAGTGTTTGGGACATTCCTAAGTTATATCTCGAATTCCTATGCGTTGAAGAAGTTCCAGCCCCACTCACATTATTAAGTGAAAACCCGGGCGGTCTTATACTCATACGTGGCCCTACATATGTGGTTGTGGGATTTCCTATAGTTTGCATATTATTTGGTATCACCGTACTAGATCCTACTTGGGTGTTTGCTAATGTACCTGAATTTTGTTCACTACTCACGGGTATCGACATGCTCACGGTTGTCGATACTACGAGTATGTTCCCATTATGACTTTGCCCCCGAGTATTTGGTGGGTGTGACCCATTTAATCCCTCACTTGTTACCTTGGTTATTTGATGAACTTCGACTCATGACTCTCCCACTCCTTAATCTCATACAATTTCGAACTAACCAATTTTGTGTTTCTCAACACAAGACCCCCCTACCTGGCGCGCCAATTTGTTTCTGGTGGAATTTCGATTGATTTCGATTCTAAACAGTATTATGGTCCTAATCGAAATCCTCCCACGCAAGTTCTTTTTACTTAGGCTAGCAGTCTGACTTTCAATCGAAAACGTGTATGAGGATCGAGAATCACAAGATATCAAGAACGTTGTTTTTGGTATTTTGTATTTAAAGTACTGAAAACAGTAAAGTATCGAATCGAGAAATAGAACATTAAATTGCAAGAGAATATAAAGTGCGAAAACCCCAAATTTGCATTAATTGTAAATGACGAGGAACCGAAAATAGTGCAAATATAAATGACAGGAAATCGAAATGTGCAGGAAATGTAAATGGCAATAAATCGAAATTGCAAGAGAAGTAAATGACAGGAAATCGAAAATAGTGCAAATATAAATGACAGGAAATCGAAATGTGCAGGAAATGTAAATGGCAATAAATCGAAATTGCAAGAGAAGTAAATGACAGGAAATCGAAAATACAGAAACATAAAATTGCTGAATTTAAGTTGCATCAAAATAAATTACCAAGGAAAATACAGAAAGCGGTAAATGTACTCAGTGAGCAAGGAAATCCAGATTGCCAGAAGCTTCATGGTGTTCGTCGTTTCTCCGGTAGACTTTTCACTACTGATTCTGTTCTCTGCCCGTTTCTGCTCCCTTTTTCTTTCCTTCTTTGCTCTATTTATAGGGCCTCCTTTAAGCCTTCCAGGAACAGTTAATAAGACTGCTACCACGTTCTTTCGTGCATGACGGTTTCTTTTTTCTACAGTTTCCCACGTTCTCACGATCCTCAACTCCTTCCATGGTCCTAGAACTGCTTTCTATACGTGCGTTTGACTTATTCTTCTCTTTGTGGTTTGTCCAGAGTTTCGATGTCCATGTTCCCTTAGTGTTCGATGATATCGATCCCTTTGCATTGCTTTGGGTTTAACCTTATCATCATATGATTCTGGTTTCTTTAGTTTTTTATTCGACAACAAGCATTTGGTTATCATTCACCCAATTTTCGATTGCGCCTCTCGATGTTATGTACTACGTACTTCTAATTGGACATCAAATGATTTCTTTTGTCTATCTTATCGATTTATCAATCGATCATATTTCTCGATTCCACAATAACACGTCTATTGTTATAATTGATTTTTTTAAACATTAATTTAGATATTTAAACATTTAAAAATATATCTTATTTAAATCTAAATAATTGGACAATATTTAAAACTTAAAAATATGAATTTAGATTTAAAATAAATTTAAATTAACTTATGTGTATATAATTATGATTTATAAATTGAATTTAGATATTTAATGCTTTTACACCTTAGATTTCGGTAATAAGGAAAGCAAGTATGCAAACAAAAAAGGGAAAAAAGAAAAGAGATGAAATAGAGTGATATGAAAATGAAGGAAAATATCATTTTAAAAAATAATAAATAATTATATAATTAATAATTAATTTTATTAATAAATTTTCTAAAGTAATATTTTTTAAAAATAATATATATGTCAACATATAATTATAAAATATTTTTTATTATTTTCAAAATTAAATTAATAAAATAATATCATATTACAAACAAATAAAAATATATATAATAAAATTATTCATTTAATTATTATAATCACTTTCATATTTATAATATTTTATTAAAATAATAATTAAATATATATTTATATTAATATTATAAACATAAAAAATAATAATCATTTATTTAATTAAAAATAATTTTATAAAATAATATTTTTCTTCTATTTTTTACTTTTTACATTTATATAAAAGAAAAAAATAAAGTTAATAAAAAATACTATTTTTTGTTTGTTATTTTTCTATTAAAATTATTATTTTCTATTCATTTCAATGATTTTCAACTCTGTATTTATTCACTTCCCCTCGAAATGGAGGAGCCCAATGGATATTTTAGTTTCAACATTTAAATTTACAGTAAATAATTGGAATTTTTGTTAACCAAAGTCCACATGGGACCCATTTATTGTATATAGCAATAAAGAATGCAAAGTGTACTACAAGCCTCAACAGAAAACATCACCATGGCATCAGGAAATAAGCATTTTGTTCTGGTGCATGGGGCATGTCATGGAGCTTGGTGTTGGTACAAGCTGAAGCCACTATTGGAATTTGCAGGCCACAGGGTCACAGTGCTGGACCTTGCAGCTTCTGGCATCAACTTGCAGAAGATAGAAGATGTTGATACTTTCTCACAGTATTCGGAGCCTTTGTTGCAGCTATTGGCAACAATTCCCCCAAATGAAAAGGTGATTCTAGTGGGTCACAGCCTTGGGGGACTCAACATAGCACTTGCCCTGGACAAATTCCCAGAAAAAGTTGCCGTTGGTGTTTTCTTAACAGCTGTAACCCCAGACATTGAACACAAGCCATCCTATGTCTTAGAAAAGGTTTCTTTATTTCTAATCCTCTTCGTATAAAATTACATTTATCAAATATCCACTTAACTAACATTTTTACATTTATATATTATTATTTATTTATTTATTTTACAACTTTTTCATCAATTAAAAAATATTATTTTAAAATTATCTATTAAAGATTAAAAATTTAAAATGCCAATTCATCTTTTTCTAAAATTAAATGTCAATTTTTCATCACAAAATACACACTCAAATAAAAAAGACTTATGAAATCTCATCAATTTACAACGGGGTTAGAGTTTTATTTTTTTTAATTTAAACTAACAACTCATTTGTTCATGTTATTAGAAAATATACTCTAATGTGCTTAATAAAAAATAATTTACTTTATTGTGAATTTTTAATAATAGTAAAGTATACTACTGTAATATCAAAGTTTTATATATTAACAAAATTATTTGGTTATATTATATAGTATATTATTTTGTCAATATCGACTAATAGTTTATATTAATAATTTAATTTTTATTGAACCAGACCTATATCAATGGAGGAAATATTTAATAAAACTATTAGTAAATAAATTCCTCTTTTTTTTTTTCAACACAAAATAATTACCCTTGCCATTTTTTGGCTTTTTTTCATAAATAATACTGTTTTCAAAAATATTTTCTAAAATAGCACCTCTGCAACTTTATTTACACAACTAGCACTGTTTACTGTTCACGTAATAAAATAATATTATTTTGCGCAACTGTTTACTATTTACGTATTAAAATAATATTATTTCGCGCAATGAACTCTCGCTCAAGCGAAGAAACCCTTCGCTTGAGCGAGAAATCCGTAGAACGCAGATTATCTACGGTCAACTATCGCTCAAGCGACAGATATTTCGCTTGAGCGATAAGTGATTAAAATATGTGGTGACCCAAGTTGCGTTATGTGGCTAACTGCGTTGGACGTTTAGCCAAATAATGCAACTTGGGTTTAGATAGCGGTTCTAGAACTAACCGCTATTAAAACTATCTTTTAGATAGCGGTTAACGTGGAATCGCTATTATATGTTACTTCTAAGAGCGATTATAACGTGAAATAATCGATCATAATTTTAAAATAATCCACATATAATAGCGGTTCCACGTTAACCGCTATGTAAAATATACTTTTAATAGCGGTCAATTCTACAACCGCTATCTAAAATCTCGGGTAAATTCTAGCTCAAGCGACGGTAATTTCGCTTGAGCGAGAAGTGATTGAAATATGTGGTGACCCAAGTTGCATTATGTGGCTAACTGCGTTGGACGTTTAGCTATGGTCAATTCTCGCTTGAGCGAGAAAACTGCAGAGTGAACCAGGTTGCATTATATGATGTTGCTTGAAAGGGGAGTTTGTTCTGTTTATGAAATTATCTTGTGTCCGTATTGTTTTACCTGGAGCTGATTGTAATTGATTCATTGAAGGTGAATATGGGGATGATAGCATGTAAAGAGAATTTAAAATTTCTTGGCTGATGGTTGGTTGGTTACTCGGGGTTAAAGTGCTTGAGGTTGTGGGGCTGTCAAGCATCAATTACGTGGAGTGGCTTAGAATGATCAAAGAAGTGTTTTTACAGTATTTTAATCGATACAAAACCCTGTAGAACCCATTATGACCGATCAGATTTGAAATATGAGCGATCAGAACTTATTTAAATCGATTAAAACATGTTTCAATCGATTAAAATCACTTAAAGGGTCAGAATGATCGATCAGAATGCAGTTATGACCGATCAGAGTTGGTTATGATCGATCAGAATTGAATTATGACCGATCAGATCTGTTTCAATCGATTAAAACGCATTTCAATCGATTAAAACAACTTGAAAAAATTTGGTACAAAGTTTTAATCGATTAAAACTTCTTTTTATCAGCTAAAAAAACTTGGAAAGTTGTATAAGAAAGTTTTGCAGTATATCAATCGATTAAAACAAGAAACAATCGATTAAAATTTCTTGACTGATGGTTGGTCATTCTTGTTATATTGAGTTGTATGACTGATATGTGCATCAATAGTTAGCAAAAAGTTCCTTAAATAACCTTTGATTTCATCAAACTGAAAAGATCTTCGTTTTATCAAATGATTCAATAAGATCTTCATCACTTTCAATTAATTGAAAAACTCCTAAGTTTCATACATTGAGACATTTCTTAACTAACACAATCTAATGATGCGAAGTAGATGCACATGCATCATTAGGACATGTTCTTCTGCTATGACCAGGGGTATGACAATATGAACATTTTTTAATCATACTTTGATGTTACGTAATGTCCATCTCGGTTCTTATACGACTTGATTTTGGTCGGCCCTTTGAAGTTCTTTTCATTTACGGATTTGCACACAAAGTAGGTCTTGTGTATGTTGGCCAATATTCTTCATTTCGCAATAACCCAAATTGTGTTCCGTATACCTTTGAAACTTGTTGTAAGGTATACACTGAATTAATATAGTTGTTGAAGTCATGGTGTGCATGCTTGCATGCAGCAAGAACATGTGAACAAGGCATGTGAAATTTTTGGAATTTCCCACGGTCACACCATAACTCATCAAGGTGAGCTGCAAACTTCCCTGTTGGTCGAACTTCACGCGGGTTTTGTGTTTCTTGTACTACAAATTTTGTGGTAGACACTGTCAAACGTTATGACCACTGTGCGTGTTTGTACGTGTTTGTGCTTCCTCTAAATTTTTGACCAAAATTTCGGAGTATACATGACCGACATTGATCATGGCATCTATCTGCCTCCCTCTTTCAATGAAAAATTTGTTGCAACGGGTGTACGTTGCGGTGACCATGGAGCAAATAGGTAGATTTCTTATTTTTTTCAAAACGAGTTGATAGACTCTGCTATGTTGGTCGTCATGTGGCCCCAACGTCGCCCATTGTCCCATGCAAGTGCCCATTTTTCTCTAGGTATCTCATCCAACCAATTAAGCTGCTTGTATGTCACATTGCCTCAAGATGTTGTAATAATAGTAGAATCGTGGTTCGGTCATCCCATACGCTACAACAATATTAAAAAAACATAGTTAATATAAATATTTATTAGCAACAATTAAATAATGAATAAATTGTAACAAATTTGAAGCAAAGGAATTACCCATATTTACAACATCTTTCCTCGGTGCGGTGTTTTTGAAATGTCTCATAAAATTTTGTGCAATGTGTCTAATGCGGTAGACATGCATTGAATTATTTTACTGTCCATCAGCTTCCATTTCTCATGTATGCACTTCTAATGGATTCATGTCGGTACGATATGAGGCATAATCCTTGCTTGGGGTGTGACATATCTTTGAAGGTTTTTTAAGAAAAAAACCAGGCATCACTTGTTTCACCTTCAACCACTGCAAAGGCAATGGGGAGGATGTTATTGCGGCCATCTTGTGCTACTGCAACCAACAAGGTACCTCTATATTTTCCATACAAAAAAGTTCCGTCCACTTGAACAATGGGCTTGCAGTGAACAAATCCATCTATGCATGACCTAAACGCTCAAAACACACGTTTAAAAATATTTGAATTTTGTTGAAGGACTTTACCTTGGTAAGCTGGTTGTGACTGCAGTTTGTAGATGAATCCGGGAACAAATTGTTGCATCGCTTGTAACAAACTAGGCAACTTCTTATACGAATCCTCCCAATTGACGTAGATGATCTCCACTGCCTTTTGTTTTGCCAACCAGGCCTTCCTGTATGTTATAGTGTAACCCGTTGTTAATTGGATGTGGGCTATGATTGTGGATATTGGTGTTGACGAATCAGCATCAATTATTTGACCAATTGTTTGGGAAATCATTTTATATCCCAACTTGTTGTGGTCTTGGTTGATTACTGGCGAAACGCATGTATGGTGCCCTTCAAGCTTCATAATCTCCCAATATTGCTCTCTTGTGCGCAATATTGCTCGACATCTCCAATTGCATTGGTTATCACCACATTCAACAACATATCTACTTTGGTTTGAAATTTTCACCTTGTATGTGCAGTGATTGACAATGTGAAAACGGTTGATGACATCTTGAACTTGTTCCTTTGTTATGAAACGTTGTCCAAGAAATAGAGTTCCTGCTGGAGAAAGAAAAGACTCTCTGTCCAACGCATGACCATACTGCGGGTCTTGTTGTGGAATGTGATTTTCAAAGTTAAGAAAATGTTGTGGTGGGTTGTATGGTTCCATGAAGTTTGGTGCATGTGTAGGGATATGTGGTTGTTCGTCCTCTGAATCATCTTGGTGTTGGCTGAGAATTTCATCTTCATCTTCATCCTCACTAAAAGGATCAACGACTTCAATTGGGAGGCCAACAATTTCGTTCTCTTGTGTGGGTAGTTCTTCGTTGATGTTGGTGGAAAGGCCACTTAGAAGTTGGGTAAAAGGGATGTAGTCATTATGTGTGGGTATTTCTGGGTGAGTGTTTGGGAAAGCTTGGTAGGGTAAGGGTGAAATTTTTGGTGACTTGTGTGTTGGGGTATGAAGAAGAAGAAGTTTTAAATGAAACAAAAATTTCAATACCACATAGACTTGAGTTTGAATTATGAACATCGAACATGGCCTCCACGTCGTCATCATCTTTTAACTCAACGACAATGAAGTTGTTGATCCCAACTCCAGAGTCTAGTTGGACAACGAAAATGGATGGTTGCTACATTTTCGTGGGGTTGTTTCTCCAATTTCTTGTGGATCAACTTCTTCAACCTTTGTAGAGAAATTCCTCTCTTTAAAGGAACAAGTTTTGCAGTCCCAGTATTGAAGGTCACTCCCTCCATGGGACATGGGTTCATGAAACCATCATAGTGGACAATAGTAGACACTACACCCATTTTAGGAGTGTGGAACACAAAGAAGACTAAAGGTAAGAAGAAGAAATAATGCAAATAGCTTCAGAGATTTAGGAGTGTGCAATGTGAGAACTTCAAAGAATGAAAGTAGTCTATTTATAATGAAGTCCAATGCTCCCTCACATGGTTTCTGATGCACACAAAACCCAAGCAAAGTGGGTGGGTCAACATCTCTTTAAATATGTTTGGATTCTTCTACTTTTGTCTAACCCAATGCGGGGAATCCAAGATTGGAATCCTAACTTAGGTGGGTAACTCGGCATTGGATTCTTTACTTGTGTGCATCGAGAAAGACATGGGAATCTGACTTGGGTGGGTGACTCGGCATTGTAAATAGTTGCGGGTTTTATCGCTCAAGCGATGGTTTTCTCGCTTGAGCTAAAATTGACCAAGCTAAACGTCCAACGCAGTTAGCCACATAATGCAACTTGGGTCACCACATATTTCAATCACTTATCGCTCAAGCGAAAGTACCAGTCGCTTGAGCGAGACAGAACCCGAGAGTCCCCCTTGTTTGAAGGCTTCATCGCTCAAGCGATGACTTTGTCGCTTGAGCGAGTTTTGACCGAATGATGAAACGTCAGACGCAGGTAGCCAAATAATATAACTTGGTTCACCACATATTAGAATCACTTGTCGCTCAAGCGTTCATAACGTCGCTTGAGCGAGACAGAACCCGAGAATCACCCATTTTTCCAGGTGTCCTCGCTCAAGCGATGTGTTTTTTGCTTGAGTGACCTTAGATAGCGGTTCTAGAACAACCGCTATTAAAAGTATATTTTACATAGCGGTTAACGTGGAACCGCTATTATATGTCAATTATTTTTAAAACTATGATCGATTATTTCACGTTATAATCGATTATCAATTTATTCGCTCAAGCGATGAGTGTCTCGCTTGAGCGAGAGTTGCCCACGGTCCAACTATATGTCTCACTTTTAAGAGCGGTTTATATTTTAACGTCTCTTAGAAGTGAACATATAATAGTGGTTCCACGTTAACCGCTATCTAAAATATTTTTTAATTGTGGTTAGTTCTAGAACCGCTATCTAAAGTCTCGGGTCAACTATCGCTCAAGCGACGCATATTTCGCTTGAGCGAAAAGTGATTGAAATATGTGGTGACCCAAGTTGTATTATTTGGCTAAACGTCCAACGCAGTTAGCCACATAACGCAACTTGGGTCACCACATATTTTAATCACTTATCGCTCAAGCGAAATATCTGTCGCTTGAGCGATAGTTGACCAGAGATAACTGCGTTCTTACGGATTTCCTCGCTCAAGCGAAGGGTTTCTTCGCTTGAGCGAGAGTTCATTGCACGAAATAATATTATTTTAATACGTGAATAGTAAACAGTTGCGCAAAATAATATTATTTTATTATGTGAACGATGAATGATCTTAGTTGTGTAAATAAAATTGCAGAGGTCGTTATTTTAGAAAATATTTTTAAAAATAGTATTATTTATGAAAAAAAAAGCCCCATTTTTTTGCTTCAACAGTACAAGGAGACTTACCCAGCGGGAAATTCGTTGGACAATGAATCGTCTGACGGTGGAAACAAAACGACTTTTGTTTTCGGTCCCAAATTCTTGTCCGAGAAAGTCTACCAAGTGTCCCCCATCGAGGTAAATTACATACTGCAATAAATATACATTATAAGGAAAAAAAAAAAGGTTTTAGTTTCTATATCTTATTTTCTTTTAACTATAAAATACATGGATTTTTGGAGAGAATAAACTAGTTCTACATGTTCTTAGATCTTATGCATATACTCCTAGTCGATAAATGTGAAAAGTTCCTGTACGATAACTTTAAAGAATATGTGGGAGTTCTTTTAACATTATAAAGCATGAATTTTATTTAAAGATAGACTAAATCCAAATCTTTTTAAGGGATTTGTCTAATTACTTCAAGTAAAATTGGATTTAAATAATTCTATTCAATAGAGTTTGAACATTTTTGTTATCCCATATTCCACCATTAATGTAGATACTATTATATTTAATGCATCCTTCTTTTCATTTTTTTTATATTTAAAGTTAAATTTTCATACATTATACGTATTTCTGTTATTTTTTTTTATTTTTTTATTTTCAACTTCAACTACAATACTTTTAACTCTTTCTTACACATTTTTAGTATAATTATTAATTAAAATTATAGATAAACATTATAAACATTAATATTACAACATTATGGTTATCACACATATGGTCAATATTATTTATTACTATAATATTTAATTAAAAATTAATAACTGGAATTATAGTAAAATACATAAATTACTGTAGTAAATTTTAAAAACATTTAAAATTTACCAAATATTTTTAATTAATTGTAAATAAACTATAAGCTTTATTCACTTTCGATAAATAGTGCTCACCATTTTTAACTTTATATATAAAAAAGATATTCTTATTTATTTAAAATGATTGAAATAAACAAAAATTATTTTTTCAATAATATTTTGTTTTCATTCTAATTAAGAATTTAAGGACTAATAGTATAGGATTTTAAATTATATATTTACTTGGCTTCTATTAAAGTAATAAAAAATATATAAGATATTATGCATGAAATGGAATTCACTTAGAAAAAATAAGTTGCAAAATAAATAAATAAATAAATATTATGCATGAAAATTTAACTTCACGAATAAATATCAGAAAACAGAAAATGATGCATCAAATATATTATGGTGAAATCCAAAATAAGAAAGTTAATGAAATTTTATGGGTCATTTCATTATTCAACATGAAAATTGTTTAACCCTATATAAAATTTACGAACACTCCTCTCACTCAATACACTCGAACACACTTGAAAGAAAGCAATGAGTGCCCAAAAAATGACATACTTGGACTTGATAAACACAGAGAGGAAGAGTAATAATGCATGTCGAGAACGATGATCGACATGCTCGAACTTCGTCAAAGTTTGAAATTTGAAATCTTGTAAAATAAAAATAAGGGTTGGATTGCAGGATCTAGAATTGGCGAAGAGTTTGTTAAGGCCAGCGTTCCTCTTTGGCGAAGACTTGTCGCAGCTCGAAAACTTCTCCAAACAGGGATATGGATCAGTTCCTCTTGCTTATATCGTTTGCAATGAGGACCTTACGATTTCACTGAGTTTTCAACTCTGGATGATTCAAAATGCTGCCATCAATGACGTTCTAGAGATCAAAGGTGCGGATCATATGCCCATGTTTAGCAAGCCACAAGAACTATGCAATTCTCTGCTGCAAATAGCCGCCAAATACGCATGAATTCATCAAGCACAATCTATTGTTGCTGATGAATTTGACTTGTGTTAGTGTTAGAGTTATGATAAGCGTAGTGGGTTATTAAATAAAAATTGTATTCACCCATACTCGTTATTGAGTGGATTAAGTAATGAGTTTATTGGAGAATTTACTGGAAACTTTTATGAAGTTTTCCTACGTTCTTAATTCATTATAGAAAATTACTCTATAGGATCTTTAGATTATTGATTTTCACAATTTAACATATATCAATACATGAATCATAGTAAGAAGACTAACTTTGATCCATGAGAATCTTTTCTTGAATCTTTTCGTTCTCCAATCTCCTTTTCACAATCTATCTCTTTGTCTTTCTTTCTTTTTTCACGTTTCGCTTTCTTGATGGTTTACCGTGAAAAAATTTTATGGCCAGAGACAGAACCCTAATCCCTTTTATTAACCAACATCCATCAAGTTGATTACCGTTAGTTAATATTTTATTTTATCTTTATTTTATTCTGACTTCACATAATAACCAATAGGTCCTCATATTTTATTAAATCACATTTGGGTCTATCATTATATTTCATATGAGTCACATAATGGAATAAATTAATTAAATTAATTCTAACATTCTCTCACTTGACTCATGTGATGTCATACGATTATGTGATTTAATACTTAAGTCATAATGCGCATTAAAGGACCTTACATAAATTGGTTCTATCATTATTCATAATTAAAGATACCGCTATAATAAGAGTCATGACGGTTACATGTCATTCAATCGACAGACTCCCTTCCATGTACCACTCTATTATTTCTTTCTCCTTAATATGACTTTATAATGAGAAGTCCATAATGGGTTCAAACATAATATCATTTTAAAAATAATAACATAATTTGTTTTCTTCATCATAATTTGCATGCATATAAATAAAGAAGAAAACACAAATTTCAGAAACTTATACATTAAAGATCTCAGAGTGTCACATAAGCATTAATAATAACATTAACATTCAACATTCACTAGTGAACATAATGCCCACATTCATTATATGGCCAGTAAATAATTTGAGCGATAATCCCTTTGTTAAAGAATCAGTAATCATAGTATGTTCTATTGACACTCTACGTTTCTAAACTTCTTCTTTAACAGCAAAGTATTTCAATTCCATATGCTTAACACCTTTGGAATACTTGTCATTCTTAGAAAAGAAGACTGTTATGAAATTGTCTTTATAAATTTTCAGCGGCTTGGTAATGTTGTCGACTACTCCAAGTCCTGAAATAAAATTCCGCAACCAATTAACTTGAACTGTGGCCTCAAAGCATGCCACAATTTCAGCTTTCATGGTGGATGCAACAATGACAGACTGTTTCACACTTTTCCATGAAATCGCTCCTCCGGTTAAAAGATACACATAACCAAATGTAGACTTTCGTGTATCCATACAACCAGAAAAATCTGAATCTGTATATCCAATCACCTCAAGGTGATCAGCTTTCTTATAAGTAAACATGTGATTTTTTGTTCCTTGTAAGTATCTTAAAACTTTCTTTGTAGCCTTCCAATGATCCAGTCCAAGATTACTCTAGTATCTACCTAGCATACCAACTGCAAAGCTAATATCTGACTTCGTACATGTTTGAGCATACATCAAACTGCCAACAACAAATGCATAAGGGATATTTTCCATCTGTTTCTGTTCCAAGTCATTCTTTGGACATTGCATGAGACTAAATTTGTCTCATTTCTATATTGGAACGGAAGATGTTGAACATTTCTCCCTTCTGAATCTCTCTAAAATTTTATTAATATATGCTTTCTGAGACAAATCTAACAGTCCTTGTGATCTATCACGGAATATTTCTATTCCTATCACATAATATGTCTCACCCATATCTTTCATTTCAAAGTTATTAGAGAGAAACTTCTTAGTCTCACTTAATAGACCAAGATCATTAGTCACAAGCAAGATATCATCAATATACAGAATCAGAAATATAAACTTGCTCCCACTAACTTTCAGATATATACACCGATCAACAGTGTTTTCCTTAAATTCAAAGGACATAATAGTATCATTGAACTTAAGATACCGTTGTTGAGAAGCTTGTTTAAGTCCATATATTGATTTCTTAAGTTTACACACCATATGTTCATTTCCTTCTTCAATAAACCCCACTGGTTAATTCATATAAACATCCTCCTCTAAATCTCCATTCAGAAAAGCAGTTTTAACATCCATTTGATGCAACTCAAGATCATAATGAGCTACTAATGCCATGATAATTCTAAAGGAATCTTTCTTAGAAACAGGTGAAAATGTTTCCTTATAATCAATGCCGTCTTTCTGAGTAAAACCTTTGGCAACAAGTCGGGCCTTGTAACGTTCGATATTGCCATGAAAGTCACGCTTAGTCTTAAAGACCCATTTACACCCAACACTCTTATATCCTTCTGGCAATTTCACAAGATCCCATACACCATTATGTGTCATTGATTTAAGCTCATCTTTCATAGCATCTAACCATTTATTAGAATTATCACCATTAATGGCATCTGAAAATGAAACTGGGTCATTATCAATACTTAGGTCATTTTCTGACCCTTGTAGATGAACCACGTAATCATTCGAAATGGAAGACTTTCTTTCTCTGTGAGATCTTCTTAATACTATTTCCTGTGGTTGTTCTATTATCAGATCATTGTTAATCTCAGGATCATTAATTTGTTGTTCTTCTTGATTGTCGTGTGATTCTACAACATTTGGAACAACAACTCTTGAAGATGTACTAGTTATTGGAACTTGTACTCTAACTTCCTTAACCTCCACATTTCGTGAAATTTCACTCCCACTGGTTTCACCATTTTCAATGAACCGATCATTTCCAGTTTCAACAATTCTTGTACTATGGGTAGGACAGTAAAATATATATGGGTAGGACAGTAAAATATAGACCCTTGTAGATGAACCACGTAATCATTCGAAATGGAAGACTTTCTTTCTCTGTGAGATCTTCTTAATACTATTTCCTGTGGTTGTTCTATTATCGGATCATTGTTAATCTCAGGATCATTAATTTGTTGTTCTTCTTGATTGTCGTGTGATTCTACAACATTTGGAACAACAACTCTTGAAGATGTACTAGTTATTGGAACTTGTACTCTAACTTCCTTAACCTCCACATTTCGTGAAATTTCACTCCCACTGGTTTCACCATTTTCAATGAACCGATCATTTCCAGTTTCAACAATTCTTGTACTATGGGTAGGACAGTAAAATATATACCCTTTTGATTTTTCTGGATAACCAATGAAATATCCACTGATTGTTCTTACATCCAGTTTCTTTTCTTGTGGATTATAAATTCTTACTTCTGTCTGACAACGCCAAACATGTAGGTGTCTTAAACTGGGTTTCCTACTAGTCCATAACTCAAAAGGAGTCTTTTGAACCACTTTACTAGGAACCCTGTTCAACAAATACATGACAGTCTTCAAAGCATACATCCACAACGATACAGGTAAACATGAATTACTCAACATACTCCTAACCATATCCATTAAGGTTCGATTACGCCTTTCAGACACACCATTTTGCTGCGATGTGCCTGGCATTGTGTATTGAGCACAAATACCACGCTTCTCAAGGAACTTAGCAAACGGACCAGGGTGTTGTCCACTTTCATCATATCTTCCATAATATTCACCACCTCTATCTGACCTGACAATTTTCACCTTTCTATCTAATTGCCTCTCCACTTCGTTTATATAACTTTCTAAGGCATTTACTGCATGAGATTTCACATATAGTAAATAGACATATCCATAACGCGAGAAATCGTTAATGAAAGTGATGAAATACTTCTCTTTATTAAAAGAATTTACGTCAAATGGACCACATATATCAGTGTGTATGATTTCAAGAAGTTGAGTGCTTCTTATGGCTCCTTTCTTTGTGTGTTTTGTTTGTTTGCCTTTAATACAATTCACACATACATTCAGATCAGTAAAATATAAATCCGGAAGGATTTCATTCTTTACTAATCTTTGCATTCTTTCTTTGGAGATATGTCTCAAACGCTTATACCACAAATAAGCAGATCTTTCATCCACCAAACTACGTTTAGTGCCAACATTATGATGCAAGGTCATGAGAGTTTCAGCATATAAATTATCCAAATTCAATTTATATAAACCATCATAAAGTGTATCAGTTCCAATCATACATGTACGCTTAAATAAACTGAAACAATTATTCCCAAACTTAAAAAAGTATCCAAGAACATCAAGCTTAGACAAAGAAACTAAATTTCTAGTGATACTAGGTACATAAAAAGTATCCATAAGGTCTAAGTAATATCCAGTGTCAAGGATTAAACGATAAGTCCAGACAGCTGGAACCTTGACTTTATTCCCCATGAAGATGAACTTCTCATTTGGGTTTATGGTTCGGGTTGAAAGGAATCCCTGCATCACATTAGAAACATGAGTCGTGCATCTAGAATCAATCCACCAAGTATTATGGGAAACTTCAGTTAAATTTGATTCAAAACATACGTAAGCACTATGCTCACCTTTCTTTTCGAACCAAGCTTTACGCTTTAAGCAGTCCTTCTGAAAATGTCTAGACTTCCCGCAGAAATGACATTTGTCATTTTTCTTCTGAATGTTAGTAGATGACTCGTTAATCTTTAATGGTCATTTACCCTTTCCATGTTTCTTAAACACTTTCTTTTTAGCTCCTTGATTTTTCACATAATGAATAGAGTGACTTCCTAGGTTTTTGAGCCTGGTCTCCTCCTGAACTAACATACTGTGCAATTCATGCACATTCCATTTGTCTTTCATGGTGTTATAGTTCATCTGAAACGGACCATACTCAGGCAGTAACGAGTTCAAAATGAACTGCATAAGAAAATTTTCTTCCACTGCCATTCCAAGAGACTTGAGTCTTGCTGCGATATTTGTCATTTTGATTACATGTTCATGCATACTACGAGAACCATCAAACTTC